CTTAGATTAGTAATTTAGACAAGTTCCTTATTCTGCAAGAGCCCTGTTGGAGAGCACTACTCTATATCATGGTGTTGCTAGTTGATGACATACTGGTCTACTGAAAAATGCTGCGAACGGATGCCAAGTACTTACTGTCCCAAAACAAAGATGCCTTGTATGGTCATACTTAACAGTAATTTTGTGGGCTTAACCATTTTTCATATACTTTGTACATCTATATCAAAACATTATTACATGTGGTAAGTACATACAATAAATACAAAAAAATAATTTGGAAAAGAAAGTTGGTTTAGAAAAAATAGCTCTTACCCTTGATATACACCATCAGCTGATCTCCTTATTTTGCTTATTGGCTATAATATCCAGGCAACTACTATGTTTGAATTGGAGACCCATTACTCTTTAGTGAGGTGGCCTTAATATCTACTACAGCAGTTTTAACTAAAGTGTTCTGTATTATCGTATCAAGTGTCAGGATACTTTTGTCTTCAAGCAGGTATCACTTGTCTTGGAAGCCTTTCATGATCTCTAGGGTTGAGTGAGTGCTTCTCCCCAGATTCCATCTCATCCCAAGCTTCTCAACATCACTCACATGTTGCTACTTACCTTCCTATCTGTGTTCTCTGTGGTACTAAGGTTCCTTGATGGTAGGGATTATATATTACTCATACTTCTATTTGAATATTGGAATTTTACCACCTATCCCAATTGCTGGATCCCAGTACCTATCTTTAAAAAATGACTAATGACTTGTGTGGTGGTCTGAATAAAAATGCCTCCTACAGGCTCATAGAGAGTGGCACTATTTGAAAAGATTAAGAGGTGTACCTTGTTAGAGGAAGTGTGTCACTGGAGAGTGGGCTTTGAGGTTTTAGAAGCCCAAGCCAGGCCCAGAGTCTGTCTCTGTCTCTCTGTAGCTGCCTGTCTCCATCTCTCTCTCCCTGCTACTTGAGAAGCCAGATGTAGAACTCTCTGCTACTTCTCCATCAACATGTCTGCCTGTGTGCCAACATACTTCACACCATGATGACAATGAACTAAATTTCTGAAACTATAAGCAGGCCCTAATTAGATGTTTTCCCTTGTAAGAGTTACTATAGTCATGGTGTCTCTTCACAGCAATAGAACACTGAGTAAGAAAATTTGCTTACATGGAGGTTTTCTGTAGTAACTGGTAAGTGCCAGCCCTAATGCCAGAGTTCCACTAATGTTTGGAAACAAGCTTATTGTCAAAGGTCTGAAGAGAGCACATGTACCAGGAGCCTTAGCACCACATGGGGTAGTTAGAAATATGGGCTCTTGGGGTCAACTGACTAAATGTGATATTGATGAGATCCTCAATGTGATTCCTACTTATGGGAAGATTTAAGGAATACTAGCGGGGAGTGAAAGACAAGATCAAGTCCCAATGGCTAGGCCTATTCTGCTTATTAAGATTTTATAATCTTATATTTATCTGAATCCACAGGAAATTGAACAATTGAACAAATGGAACTGGGAGACATAGGATTGATTGTCAGGGCTCTTAATTAGCCACTCTGAGCATTTGTTTCCTTATCTTTACAATAGAGATATTTCCTGCCTTATGCTTTTGTGATAGATGTGACTAAAAACATGTCTATCACTGAGCTTATGTGTTCTCTCCTGCTTCACAGTCCCAGACTTACCATTACCTTCGCTATTCAGTGTAGTTCATAACCTTGTGGAGTAACTCCATGAAATCAATAAATATCCATCCCCACACATGAAGCACTTTAACAACCACTTTCATTGTCTGGTAGTAAAGCAACGAAATTAGTGATGCACCCTGTGGGGAAATTATTTCCCAAAACTAATGGCATTCTTTTATCTTGGAAACTATGGTGCCCATCATGATCATCTGAATATGTTAGAACCAATAACTGACCAAATCCACAATCAAAAGCTCAGTACCTCCCTTCAGATACCATCAGTAATTCTTAGAGATAAAATGTCCCCTACTGAGAATGGTTTTTGTTGAGTGAATGAAGACAAAGTCCATGATATTTCCAACATCAGACCCTATGGTCTGGAACCTCTGGGACTCTCTAGATAATTGTGAATTTTCATAAATACTAGCGGCATTAAGCTGAAATATTTGAATCTTAAGATTATAAGAAAACAAGAACTAAGCATGTTACCATGAACTATAAGAATATATGATTGCAGAAATCCAAAGGCTATCTGCAACATCACATGGAAAGGTAATAGCATGTATTAGGGCCAAGACACAGGTTTTTGAAGCCAGTCAGATTTTGTTCTAATCCCAAAGCATTGATGATTATCTAGGGGATCTTTGGAAGAACATGTAAATTTTCTAAGGTATATCTCTACCAGCTAAATAAGAGGGGTCATAATATAGCATGGTTGTCAAGACCCAGTAGTGCCAACTACAACTGAAATTTGGAATCAGTAACATGGCTCTTACTATGTTTGTTAGTAGTATACAGAGACTCCATCTGGGAGGAAATTTTTATCATGTTTCTCTACAAACACAGAACTCTCTAAAGTCCTGGTAACAAAAAAACACAGCCTTAACTCAGACAGGAACATCTTTTAGAGGAACAGTATTAATGTAATATCTGACATTTCACAATAGAGTTCTAAGAAGCTATTTGCCAACTCAGTCTACATGTGCTTTAAAAGTCAACCTGGGGTTGTCTTATATTTACCAATATTACTTTGAAATAATTTGCTGGGATGGGGTGAAGGGGTATACTAAAACTCCATGCTTTTACCTGAGTCACTTAGCATTCAGGAAGTCAGTTTATGTCTCCTAAGGCTGAACCCAACTGTTTACATGATTACAGACTGACCAGGTCTAGTTCACATGAATTTTAGGAGGTCCATGGGTGCAGCTAGCTTTGGAAAATGGTGGAGTGTCTGCTGTTCAGACTCTGTGTTACTGGGTGGATATTGCAGGAGGAAGGTTAATTTACTCTAACAGGGTCAAATCCCAACTCCGATTTTTCCAGTCCATATTTATTTAGCTTATTGGATGAGGCAACAGCAGTATTGTAGGTTATGTGATTTGGGATTAAATAAGTAAGAATGAGTTTCAAATTTGGCATTGTGATGCATGGATCCTAGGAATTGAGGGGAAGTTATTTAATTTGAATATACTCTATCTCTTCACTGATAATCAGCAATGTCCACTATCAGGCTACAAATAACTACTCAGTGAGCTAAAGGGTCTTGCACACAATGGCTTATTTAAAAGCAATTCTCCTAGACACTGAGCATTATGGAGTTAATGAGAGAACCTGCCCTTCCTGTCAACTGTATTGGCATGACATCAGCATGATACATTGTAAACTTTGATTCCAGGAAGCTGATACAAAGGAATCAACATCCATGTCAATTACCTTGGCTCAAATTGCTATGTTCCCCACATGTGGGCCCGTGCTACCACCAAGTGGCACTTCCTGAAGTACCCACTGGGGACTCATACTGTTGACTCCACATACATCAACTTCCACAGTTGTCAACTTTTGGGTTGAACTAAACAAACTTTTGAGCTCTATTTTTTAAATGGGATTAGATGACAGTGTCAGGCACCCATATCTGAGGAAACAGGATGTTTCTCATGATGGTATGGAATGCCAGCTTCTGGCTTTAATAGATTCTATATACATGCAATTTCATAATCTTCAAGTTTATGGGTATTATATCAAAGTAATTAGTATCTTCTTTCATTCTCAGGAGTGACCCTGCTTGGCTAGTGAGTTATATGGTTATTGGCTATTCCTGTAAACAAGCAAATGAAAACAAAGTGTCTGGGCCCAATTCATGTGCTAGGATAAATGTTTAAAGAAAAGCTTTAGGGAATTAAAATTTGACATTTAATGCTGAGAATCAGTGCTGCCAATGGATGTTCAACTTTGTTCTAGTAACTAGAAATGATTTAGCAGTAGCTAGTCTGAGGGAGAGTAGCAGAAGTTATGTGTGCCTATGGGTGTGTGTACACATGTAGGTGTGTGGGGGAGAAGGAAAAAGGCATTGAATGCAGAAGGTGAATATTTAATAGCCAGTCATGGAGTTCAGGGCAAGTCACTGAACATGGCAACTGGAGAGAGATGGATACAGTAAATTCTGTGACCATGTGGTAGATGGCTTGCAGCATCATTACTGAACAAACTGAACTTAACATGGCTTTGAACACCTTTTCATCATGTATTCTTTTTACAGTGTTCATGCATTACTTTGATAATAATAAATCCTGTATATATGCTATATATATCCAGCTGCTTCATGTGTGTGTGTGTGTGTGTGTGTGTGTGTGTATGTGTGCGTACACACAATGTGATAGCTAATACTCAACTTGATGAGAGCTAGAATCAACTAGGAGAACTGCCTAGGAGACAAACCTCTAAACATATCTGAGAGATTATCTAGATTATGCTTACTGACTACAAGCACAATGTAGTGAATCAGTGGCTTCAAGTTCTTGCTGACATGCCATCCTTACTGTGATGGGCTAGATTCTCAAACTCTGAACCAAAATAAACCCTATTGTCAGATATTTTGTATTAATAACATGAGAAGTAACTAATAAAGACACACACACTTATGTGCATTTGTGTAGCAATTCTAATTACATTTTTTCTTCATTTTGTACTAATCTAGGGGAAATACCATAGAATATTCTGACTGATTGAACTGTTGCACTCCACAGAACAAGAGAGCCATAAGAATAGGCTATTTGCTACTGATCCCCACAATTTGCATACTTAGAATATAAAGCATCTGGCTACAATGGTGAGACAGATGCAAAATGGAAATTTTGAAAATGAGCTGAGGGTTAGAGGAGAAAGTGAGATCTAACCTTAAACATTGAGGGAAAAAAAGGTGACATTTCAAACAATGAGAAAGGTGACATGGAATAACAGAGAGCGTGAGATGCTGTGCATGGAATTGACTTTGCCCTCTAGACCAAGTGTGTCATGTGGCTTCTTACAAGAGTGGGAAAAGGAGGAAGAAACAGTCTGTACTTTCATTTATTAAATGCAGCTTTTGCTGGTCACATGGCAACTCAATACAAACAGCCCAGCAGTAGGTAGGCCATTAACTCTTGTTCTCATCAATGTAAACACAACATTAATAGTGAAGAGTAAAGAAAATAGGTAAAAAGTTCAGTGTTTTTCTCCATCTGAATGAAGAGGTGCTTACCAACCCTCAGACAAAGTCCTGAGGGCAAACTAAGGTCACCAAGTCCCCTGCTTCCAACAGGGAGGCGCCTGACCCTTTTCTTCCAGTGGCTTCCACGTGGTCACACAAGTCTTCAGATTGGTCTTCTAGTAACTATTCAAGTTCTTCTAAAGGTCTGAGAGGAGAATCATACCTTCTGTGAGTAATGAAACAGTTCCTTGAAGCCCTTTCCTTGTGACTCGGTCATTGTCCATAGAAAATGTGACTTGCATACAGTGTTTGGCCTCATATTTCTGTAGTCCCTGTCATAGCCATGGATCTGGAGAGTAGGAACTAAGCATCAGGGGGTATCAGTGTTCATCCTGCCCATGTGAGAACATGCTCTGAGGATGCTCATCTTTGCTGACAGTAGTGTTGGTTGAGGGAGCTCATTTTTCTTTTAGAACTTTAATGATTAGATATTTGTTTATCTTGGAGTCCTAGATCAAAATTAATAAACTCCCCCAAATTCAAACAACTCAAAGCAAAACAAGAGAGACTTTGATAATAAAGAAATGATTCACCCTATATCTAGATCCTTGCATATAAAAGGTCCCTATGCAGGTCTCCAGATGGCTGTCTGGGTCCTTGGCTAGCTCTTCACTTGAGTACCTAGCTAGATGAGAGGGAAAATAAAGTTCTCTTCCTAGGAAGAAATAGCTTGCTCTTATTTCTTGGAGTGACTAAGCCTAGAACAGTGATTTCTTTCTCCACAGCTAGAATTTGAACCATAATTATTACAAAAGCAGTGAGAGCATCTAGAAACCCTGTCTGTGGCTTTGTGGTTGAGTTGTTAACTCTTCATTTGATTCCACCCATCTGTGTCCCATTCTGGAAGCACCTCATGGTTGTGGATTGGGTCCCTGTCCAAGATATCAGAAGAAAGCAGCTTTGTGGGGCCAGAGAGACAAAGAGAAACAGGCCAAAGAAAAGCGGTGATGAATTTTGTCTTCAAAGGTTGAGGCCCGGGCAGAAAGTGGTGCTTCCCTTGTAGCATGTCTCTCCCTAGTCGTGGCCTTCATAGTGCTAGCTGTTGTTCTCAGCCGTGAGATACTTCAGGGCAGCAAAGCCATAGCGTCGAGACATGTCCTGTTGAAACTCTTCCTTCAGGGTTTTGAGACAGATGCGGTACTGCTTGTTGGAACGAAACTTAGTGATGTCGAAACTGGGGGCATGGGGCATGTGGATCATGTAGGCATTGGGCAACACGGTGAACTCATACTCCTGGAAGGAGGAAGACAAGGGTGATGAGAAATCTTGCAAGAGCCTTGGGTCATAGATGACTTTGAATCAAGGGACTAGAGAATAACACTGAAAGGGAGTCACAATAGCTACAGAGTAGCTTGCTTCAGGATCATGCCTATGTACTTGTACAAAATACAGGAGTCATCTAAACTTTGGTTTGCTCATCAACAAAGTGAGAGTGAGAAAATCTATCTTGAAGGATGATTATGAGGATGAAACTCATACTGTATGGAACGAGGGGAACATAACATGTGCCTGCTCCAGAGGTTCTCCATATACCCCACAGTAACTCTGGAATAATGCTACCATGCAATATTCTGTTGACCAATGAACTAAATCTGAGCAAATGTTTAAGCTCATGTCTGTAACCAGTGTATTTGTGAAACCTGTATAAGAAAACTCCCATAGATTCCATGCCAACCTGGTTTACCTAGCAAGTTCCAGGCCAGTTTAAGTCATAGTGTAAGATCCTGTCTTAAAAAGAGATAGATAGACAGATAAATAATTAAATATCCAGATAAAAGACCAAAATGTTAAGCTGTGCTGAAGCTAAATGAGAATAAAACTTTCCTCAACTTATTGTAAGTGATGACATCATAGAATATGCTTGATATGATAGGAGACAGCCAAATATACAATGCCTCTCTCTGAACTGCTCAAACAAGGGACACAAATTTAGGACATGTAACTCAGACAGAACCCAGAACATGCACAGTCCATGTCTTTGCTCCAATAGTGGATTCATATCATCTATTTTCACTGCCAAGAGTAAGCAAGAATAAACTCAACAAAACAAATCAAGAACAGGAAAGGCAGAGTATGTCATCTGACAGTGAAGTGAGAAAATCAGGAGAAAACTCAAGACTACATAGCCCAGATGTCTGAGACATTTCACATAGGGACAAAGTGAAGTAACCCCGCCCACCAACTCCCGCAACTGGGGCTCTGTGACCTGTCAGCTAGGAGTGTTCTTCTTCTTCTTCTTCTTCTTCTTCTTCTTCTTCTTCTTCTTCTTCTTCTTCTTCTTCTTCTCTCTCTCTCTCTCTCTCTCTCTCTCTCTCTCTCTCTCTGTGTGTGTGTGTGTGTGCGTGTGTGTGTTTTGAGAAAGAGTTTCTCTGTAGCTTTGGAGGCTGTCCTGGAACTAGCTCTGTAGATCAGGCTGCTCTCAGATTCACAGAGATTCACCTGCCTCTGCCTCCCAAATGCTGGGATTAGGCATGCACCATTACCTGTTAGCAAGTGTTTCACTTTCTTAAGTCATTGGAATGGGTAGAACTTTGTGTGATGAATGCTACAAGCAAATGCAGGAAAGTATGTGGTCCATTTGCAAAAGCTCTGTGAAAGAGTATAAAACAAAGGCCACGCTTTGGGAATCGGAAAAAAATGAACTTTTCTTTGAAAGGTCACCACACAACACTGCTGGGCCCAGAAATACCACTGTTCTTTCTAGCAGCAACAAAGGCAGTCCAGGGCTCATGGTCTCTAAGCAGGTATGTTGGTTATAACATGGGTAGCAATGGATGGGCATGCTTTGTGTAGCACCTGGGCTTCACCTGTTAAAACTCTGCAGACTTCTGAAGTATATGTTTGTTAAGGATTGTGTGACTGGATAAAGGCTTTTAGACTGGACACTGTTGTTTTAATTGAAGGGTAGAATAATTAGCCACATTTTAGTGACAGGTTTTTTGCTACTTACAATGATACAATTATGCAATTTGGGGGTCAAGTCATGACTAGTTTTCCTGTGCTTATCTGCCTCACTGGATGGAGGGGGTAAGAAAATACATTATAGGAGATTCACATTTGCCTAATCCTGTCCAGGAACCCAATTCCATGTACCCAGAGAAGGAAGACCAAAAGTCTGAGGTTGAGAGCCTAGAAAACCAGACTCATATTCTCATTCTTAGTTCCTGAAAATATATTATTCCTCTGAAGGTCCTGTTTAATCTTCTCTCTGGGATTCTTTTCACTTCCAGCATCTGCACCTCTCTCCTTTCCTGGACAGTACTAGTCAGGAATTCTGTTCTTACCTGTGCATCCAATTCCATGATGTGAGCCACTTTGTTCCAGCCAAAGCCCACAAACCTCCGATCGTACTCAGAGCAGTCTCGTCTCACAACAACATATGGCTCAAAATCAGCCTCCCACTCAACCCGGTAAGGCATGGTGGCAGTCCGCCACTTGGCAAAGTTTGTGGGTGCATGGCCTTTAGTCCAGACATGGTACCTGGGAAATGTGAAGAAAAGCCAATCAGTGAAGGGGTGGAAGCTGAGCTTTCCCACCCCTAGTGATGTGGAGGAAGAAGAAATGCATTTTGATATGGTCTTCCTGGTGGGATGCACTGTGTCCCTGCTAAATTCTCAAGTTCAAATGTTCAATGCCTGTAAACATAACCCGGTAGGAAACAGGATCTTTTTTATTGTTATTTGTTTTTAAATTTAAGTTTAAATTAGAAACAAGGTTGTTTCCCAAGTCAGTTCCAGGTCCTTCTCCGTTTCCCTCCCCTCCTCCCGTGCCCTCCCCCCTAACCCCCCCAACTTCCCCTCATTTCCCCAGGGAGGGTGAGGCCCTCCATGGGGGTGTCCATAGTCTGTCATTTCATCCAGGGCAGGGCCTAGACCCTCCCCCCAAGAGTCCAGGGTGAGAGTGCATCTCTCATTGTTGGATGGGAGTCCAAAGTCCATTTGTATACCCGGGATAAATACTGATCTACTACCCAAAGCTCAATAGATTACCTAGGCCTCCTCACTGACACCCACATTCAGGGGGTCTTCATCAGCCTGGGATTCAAGAGCTAATTCTTGTCAGGTCAGCTGTTTCAGGGGTTAAACCAGCCCAGTCTTAATCCCTTTGTTCATCAGTCCTCCCTCTCTGTCACTGGCTTTCTTGAGTTCAGCTCAGTGCTTAGCCGTGGGAGCCTGCCTTTTCTTCCATCAGCCACTGAATGAAGGTTCTGAGGAAACAGGACCTTTACAGGCATACTTAAACTAGAATTAGGGTGGGACTTAATCCGATGTCCTTTTATGAGAGGGAGATTTGGACACACAGATACACACTGAGATGTGCAGATGCAAACAGAGCTTAGAATGAGACTCATCAAGCAATAAGGAATGTCGAGAGTTGCTGACAATCACCAACAAAAAGGCAGAGAGGAACAATGAATGTGTCTTTCTAGAGCTTTTGGAAAACCACAGACCTATTAGGAACTTTCACTTGGACTTCTGACTTGCAAAATTGTTAAATAATAATGAACTGCTGTGTTAAGTCACCTTCTTTTTATTTATTTATTTATTTATTTATTTATTTATTTATTTATTTATTTTTACTATTTTGTTACAGGAGCCCTGGGAAACTAATGTGGTTTCTTGGAGTTATCTGTCACTAAAGAGAAGACTCCATAGAAATGTCAATGAACTTCCAAGCACTTGGCATCATTTCCATGGAATCTATATCTGGTAATTCCCAACAGAGACCACTGGGAATGATGGGGCATAACCTATGAGTAGGATACCCATCTGGTTATATTACACCATGTGGCAAGAGTAGATTCTTATAGATATGAAGCTTATTAAGCAGGAGCCTCTGTAGTAATGAAAATTGAGATTACCAAGGTAGGTCTGATATGACACATGATCCTTCGGATCTGGAAGGAATGAAAGAGTCATGCTGTGAGCTGTTTATGAAGTTAGGGTGCGGAGATAGAGGAGCCAGGAGTTCCATGGGGGTACATGTCCAAAATTTAGGATGAAGGCCTTGCCCTGTGTTAATAGCAGAAAGAGGATCATGTGGCACTACATGAAACATCTTCAGACATCTGCTTTCCATCCAGTGGTACCCTGGGCAGAGAGCCGGCTATTCTTTGCAAGCTGACAGAGACAGTGAGGTTGCCAGTCTGCACTGCTATATAGTGTTGCGTTTGTGGTAATTTATTATCTAGCAATACAATAATCAGAAAATTATATTTATTAGATGTTTACTATGGGTTGGGACTATTTTAAATGCTGTAGATACATACTGTTTTAAATTCTAAAAATGTACCCAATGCTGGGTTCAAATAGTAATGAAGCCAAAGGTCAGCTTGTGTGCCACTGTCACTTACACAAAAGTGGAAGGAGCAAAGAGGTTGAGCCTTAAGGCTCTGAAATTAGGACTCTGTTGACACTCTATGTCCCTGAAGGTACTACATTCATTCTCAGGTTTCTCTTTCCCAACTCATCTAAAAAGATTTCCTTTCAGCTCTAAGATCCAAGGTTCTCTCTTCCTATATCACTAGGTTGATGCTCTGTTTTTAATTGTGAGTCCACTTTCATGATATAAGAGTACACTGAAAATGAGTAGATGAATATTTTAAAACTTGAGTGGTGCCTGAGAGCCAGATTAGTGAGTGGGGCGGTACTTTGGCACTGCAAGTTATAGGGAAAGTGGGTACAAGGAGTGAAATGAAGCTACAACAGGGCCAACAGAAAGGGGTTAGGAAAGATGGTGTACTGATTGGTTTTGGGTCAGTTTGACACACCCTAGACTTACCAGAGAGGAAGGAGCCTCATTTGAGAAAATACCTCCATGAGATCCAGATGTAAGGCATTTTCTAAATTGGTGATCAATGGGGGAGGGCCCAGCTCATGGAGGGTGGTACCATCCCAGGGCTGGTGTTCCTGGGTTCTATAAGGAAGCAGGTTGAGCAAGCCAGGGGAGTAAGCCATTAAGCAGCATATCTCCATTGCCTCTGCATCAGTCGCTGCCTCCAGGATCATGCCCCTGCTAGAGTTCCTCTCCTGACTTCCTTCAGTGATGAATAGCAACACTAAGTGTAAGCCAAATGAACTCTTTCCTCCCCAACTTGCTTGTCATGGTGTTTTGTTACAGCAATAGAAACCCACCAGAAGCAGATGGAAAAGATTTTGGAAATGAAAGGAAGACAGGAAAGGTGAGATCCAATAGCTTAGTTGCAGGAGAGAGGAATACAGATAATGGGTTTCTGTAATCTCCTTAGGGCCATCTCCGTAAAGCAAACATGGCTGTGAGAATGAATGCCCCAAGGCAGGTGGCATTCCAATGGCAGGTATGAAACTGTTCTCTAATTTGTTTCATCAAAGAGGATGAACTTCTGCTAGACTATCATGAAACTGTAGTGACCAGTCCCCCATTTTAACAGCCATTACAGGTTAACATATGCTTGCAATACCTTACCGCTCCTGTCCTGGTCACCAAGAGGTCAGATGCCCTCCTCATGGCAAGGAACCAATCAGAAGTTAGCTGGTGGGGCTGTGCTTTATGGACAGTGCACAACAGTGACATGCAGAACATAGCAACGGCACTGGGAGGGCCTATGGGCCATAACAACCAGTTGACCAATCAACACAGGGTGGGTCACCCAAACCTGGAAGCGCACCATTCCTGAGACTGTTTCATGCCCTTAGACACTCCCCTTACTTTGCCCTTTAAGATCCCTGCCTCGAAGTTGCTTGGGATCTTTCTCCAGCTATCTGCCATGGTGGTTGGGAGAAGGGCCCGAGCTAATGGGGTTAGCTCGTTAAACATCTACAATAAAAGACTCTTTGCTTTTGCATCGAAATGGGCCTCTTGGTGATTTTGGGGTTCAGAGTTTGGGCACAACAAAACCATCCAGCAGACTCAATGCGTTGCTGGGTGGGTGGGATTGACAGGCTGGGAGAAGGTGGTAACTTGAGCATCAGTTCCATCAATGCAACAATGTTTACTACAAGAGAGAGAGAGATTACTACTTTAATGGAGCATGGAAAGGATATTGTGAGATGTCCAAGACAGGTCTAATCTAAAAATTAGTCCATGAAGCAGGAGATTTTCGATTTGTGAGATGTTATGGGGAAGAAAGAGCTGAGGTTTCTGAGCAGTGTTCTCCAACTTGAGACACGTAAAGAGCACGTTTTAACACCGGGACATCAGGATGAGGTCTGAGACTGTATCCATAACAATGTCCCAGGCAATATGATGCTACTGATCCAGGGGCCATACACACTCTGAGCACCATGTCCCTGGAGAGTGCAGAAAAGTGTAGGAACATCAGTTGTGTGCAACTGTGGAGTCCCATTGATGTCCTTAAGTTTTAGATGGTGAGCTGTAGATGCCTACTCCATGCTTTAAGAGCTTAGAAATTAGACTACTCTCTCTTTCTCTCTGTCTCTCTGTCTCTGTCTCTGTCTCTCTCTCTCTCTCATACACACACACACACACAGGGAAAAAAAGAAAAGAAAAAGAAAGAAACTCCACCAAGGATCTGAGAGAGAATCTACTTACCAAGAGTAATAATACACACTGTGATGCTTATAATTGTCAACTTGACACAAGGAGGTCTTAATGAGGAGTTGTGCACATTGGGTTGGCCTAGGGGAATGTCTTTATGGTGGTTGTCTTCCTTGCTTTAATATGGAAGATCTTCCCTAAATGTGAGTGGCACATTCTGGCAGTAGCCAGACTTGGAAGAAGGAAAGAATTTTTTCTCACTTGACTTTCATTATTGCTGAAAATTTACCCTATTGCTGCTACTATCACCAGCTCTTTCTATGATATTAGAACCAGCTTCTTCAGGCTTCCAATGTGTACTAAAAGGGCAATAATCTACCAGGTCCTTGGCATAAGATTTGTATTGTTGTCATATTCAACTATTGTTGGACCAATCTGATTATATTGCATATGGTAACCTAATTAATTCATTTTAAATATATATTAATTCTATTAGTTCTATTTCTGTAGAGAACACTGCCATGCTACTAAAGACAAAATTCTGAGCCAGTGGACAGTGAAGAGGCCATATATGGAATTTGTCATTTCTTTTAAAGTATGAAAATAAATGTGTGGCTTCTTGTACCAGTAAGCCTCTCTTTCCATCTGGAAACAGTGCCTACCATCTATGTATAAAGCAAAGTAAATAACATGTCAGAGGGAGAGGACAAACAGAATCCCGAGATACACTGTGCTGAGTATCTCTTTTTGGTTTTAGAGTGGACTAATGCAACATACTGACCTCTTTGTCAACATCTTTGATATCTGAGTGTCCTGGGACAGAGGTCCTTTGGAAACCCCAGATGACTGCTGTGAGGGTCACTCACCTGAATGTGAACAGGGTTCCCATGTCCAACATTGACAGCAGTTCTGCTTTTGACTTGGGGAAAGAGAGTCTGTACCGAAGTGTCTCGAATGCGGGGACAATCATTGCTTTCTTGGTGTTGGCAAGGTCAAGCTGGATGACAGACTTCCTGAAAGAGAGGTCAATAGAGATATAGGGTGCCTTTGATGTCAGATCAAGTCCCTTCCATGTGAGGATGGCTGATGGTCAGCCCAGAGAGGCTAAGCAATTATTCATATCCCTCACAGGAGTACAGAGAGGAACTGGCAGGTTATCTTTGCTAACCCAGAGCAGGCTAGACAGTAGAGGTTGGATCTACTTTCCACAAAATTGCAGGGTGTACTACTATCGCAGACAAGAACTGAAGGGGGAGTTCTCAGAGGACTTATGTCTACTCACCTACAACACTTCGAACCACAGAAGACTAGGAATACACAGTCAATGAGAGGAAAGACCAACTATGACCCTTCAACCTCAGGGGTGACCTTGATTCTGACCCTGCAGAGTAGGTAGAATCCCTCTCACATGGGGTTACCTAGCCAGCACTAGACCAGGTAAGTCAGAAGTCTCATGGACTACTTGGAAGAGTTCTTCAATTTCACTGACTCCAACCCAGTCTTCTGCTCCTCAGGACCCGGCTCCTGCTCTCCTTGACTGAACTGTTGGCTCCCAGCTCAGACAAAATCTCTTGGAAAGGGAGAAAGGCTCTAATGATAGTAGTATAGCATGAAGTTTTTAAGAAACACAGACTGGATTTAAATACTGGCAATGCCACTTTGAGTCTTGTTGCCCTGGACAAATACCTGAGCTTCTTGTTACCTCAGGTTTCTCCTGGCAGAATGGTGGCAATAATGTCTGCCTCCTAGAGTTATCATGGATGAGGTAGTATCACACCAAGCAGTATACCTGACAGGAGGAAGGCATGTAGCAATAAGCAGAAACTATCATCTGCAGGCCTTTCTTATCCTGTGGCCTGATCTACTGTGGTCTCTTTTGGTTATGATCTTAGTACTTCATTCTGAGTCACACCACTGACTTAAGGATCTTGATGCAATTATGGGCTTTGTGTGTCTGTCTCCACAATAGAAAAGCAACTTGGAATTCTTGAGGGAATGGCAGACACTGGAAGACATTTTGTAAAATCCTGGGAGAAATAAAACTCTGAGCCTGTACTTAAGCCTGGACCACGGATGATGTTCAAAGGGAAGCCGTATTATGTGTTAGTCACTGTGTTAACCTGGGCCAATGCAGAGCGTAACAGGGCATCAGGCTGAAAAGTACATAATCAGGACTTTATAGCAATTAATGGTGAGGAAGACTATGGACAAGGACAGATCAGGACAGATTTCTGAGACTATCCTTTCCTTTGCCCTTTTGTTGTCTGAACAATGTTGTTAAATGTCTACAATTGCTTCCTCTGTGGCCAGATTTTTAGAGTCATAGTTTTTTATTAAACCTATATCACATACAGAATTGGGTCCTTTACCTTTCTCCTAGGAAAACTGTGAACTGAATTCTCTACTTGAGAAGAGAGAAAAAAGTAGTAGTTGGAATGTAATTGGCCCCTATAAGCTTATTGGGGTGGCACTATTAGGAGGGGTTGCTTTATTGGAGTGGGTGTGGCCTTGATGGAGGAAGTGTGTCACTGTTGGGGCAGGCTTTGAGATCTGCTATGCTCAAGCCACACCCAGTGTCTCAATTCACTTCCTGTTGCCTGCAGATCAAGATGTATTAACTCTCAGCTCCTTCTCTGGCACCATGTCCGCCCGCATGCTGCCGTGTCCCAGCAAAATGATAACGGACTAGACCTCTGAAAGTGTAAGCCACCCAATTAAATGCTTTCCTTTATAAAAGTTGCTGTGGTCATGGTGTCTCTTTACATCAAAAGAAACCCTAAGACATGAGAGACTGCTACATAGTCAGTAGTTACTGTGCATCCATTCACCATGTGCCAGCTACATAGAGATACAACCAGCCAGCCACACACCACTCTGTACCTACATGCTGACACAAATGGCTCAATGTGCTAAAAGTCTGAGGACAAAGATCCCTAAACTGGAGGCAAGATTGCATCTGTGAATACTCTTTTTAAGATATAAATTCTATGAAAATAGGGTAGGAGGCAGCAAAGGCAAAATTATCAGAGGAACGGGACATTCATTTATATGGTTATATGGGGTTCTCTATATAAGCTTCAAGTTACTATTACAATCACAGTTACTAATAAGTAATTGTGCTTACATATGTGTGGGTGAATTGTGTGTCAGCCAGAGTTCAGCCTTGTGTATTTAATATTCCTCCTTCCACCTTGTGTTTGGAGACACTTTCTCTCATAGGGAACTGGAACTTCATTTTCCCCAGTGCTAGGATTACAGGTATGAACTACTTACTACATTCATCTTCTTCTTGTTTGATTCTCAGATCAAACTCAGGTGCTCAAGCTTGCTAAGAAAGTCCCCTTTCTGATCGAGCTCTTGGTCCTCACTTACAGGTACCATAAAAATCATTTGTTTTAATACCATACTCAAAATTAATTCTCTTTTCTATATGCCCTATAGATAACAGCAGACCCTAGCGCTGCTCCCTGAACCCTACCTAACCCAGGACATATTGTCAGGGATATGCACTCAACTGAAAGGGAGTACACACCTTTCCCACCCTTGGAAATTTGCATAGAAACAGAGCCTGGAAGACCACACAAATGACTTGTATTGTCGGGGCTCTGCAGGATTTTAGGCTTCTGCTGAAGAGATGCCCAGAGCTGATCACTGCACTGACTTTACAATTCTGCTTTGATTCCATTAGAAGATACCACCCTTTGATTTGTTTTTACTTTAATTATGTTCTTGAATTGGTTTCTGTTACTTGTAACTAAACATTAATGGATACATTGTAAAACACACAACAAACAGACTCAATGAGTAGCCTGCCTTTTAAATAGGCTCTGGCTAGCCCCTTTTCTCTCTACAGATAGTATCTGGTTTTGCAGTGATTTTTGCAAATTTCCTTTAATCTTACCAAACCACAAACTGCCACAAGAGTAGTTCTGTCCCTAGACAGTTCTGACCCCAACAAACTGAATGATTGGGTCACTTTACACATCTCCTTGCTGAATCTAGACTGTTAAGACTTGATAATTTTGTATTGGAGTCTGTTGAAAAACTTAACTGGACCACAGCTGTCCTCTTGAACAAATCAAGTTAGATGAAGGTATTTGATACACGTGATTAACATTTCCATCACTTGACTTTGAGGAAAGGAGCTTACCCTGGATACCATAGTTAATTAGTTGAAGAGTGCAGAAGCAAATGCTAAGCTTTTCTATAAAAGAAGGCTGGTGCCTCTGGGCTGTAACACACACTTCCTCCAGCTCCACAGGCATGCCTGTTCTATCATATTCAAGCTTGCCAATTTCACAGCTTGCCAGTCCTTAAAGTCCCCTTTTCTATATTTCTATATGCATGCATGCACACATCCATCCATCAGTATCCCTGCATCTCCTCATGTAGTCCTTATCTAGAGAGCACCAAGTGACATGCATTGCTTCTTGTCCACGACATCCACAAAATATTCATAAATTTCCCGTAAAAGTTTGGTTAGAGGAACACGCAGATGTCTACCTGAATGATGGAGGATATACTACTAATAAAATGGAGAACAAAGCCTGTCTGCTTCTCTTCTGACATTCTAGATTCATTGCACCACCTGTTCTGCTCATGGAGTCCCCATCTGAAAATGAAGGTGGTGACTCTAAGTCTCTTTTGTTTGCTTGTTTTCTGAGACAGGGTTTCACTGTGTAGCCCTGGCTGTCCTGGAAATCTCTTTGTAGATCAGGCTGGCCTCAAACTCAAAGAGATCCACCTGCTTCTTATACTATTTCTTTTCTCTCAGAGTTCTAGAGAGCAATGGAGGGTTTGTCTTGGAATAGTGAGTCCCCTCTTCTTACAGTGGGCTTGAGGAAGGAGAATGGGAGAGCATGGACCTTTCAGAAGGAGAGCACATGGCTAGCACAAGGGTGGATTTCTGGCTTGCTTATGGAAATGCAGAGTATTAACCTCTCAGTTTTCAGCTAGCCCTTGGCATCCTTTTCTATACCAAAAACATCTTGGGTATTCATGGCAATCAATTTATCTGTTTTTCCAATCCCCTGGCTCTACTGTTATGTCGCATTTTCCCCCCAGTCCTTCCTCTCAACTCACCAATGAAAGCAAATACCTTCTACCCCAAAATGCTTCTACCTAGAAGTGATAATCAGAGAAGGAAATGTGGGGGAGTGGTAAGGCTTCCTTATGCCCACCAAGGAGGTAGAATCTATGTTCTCATGGGGCTTCATGCAAGTCCCAAGAACAGGGTGACTGCTTACTAGATTAGATGTCTCAGTATTTAGAATTCCCAGACCCTAGTAGCTGATCTCATGCTAATGCATACACATTTCTCTGTCTACTTTTTCTCTCTACCTTCTGCCTTGGAATCAGTTGTTTCTGTAATCGGGGAAACATCCCAGGTTACAACACTAGATTATAGGTGGGAGTGTCTCATAGAAACAAAGGACAGTCTATTGTTATTCTCTTAGAATATCATCTCCTGTGGGTCTTGGTGGTGAAAACAAGACTGTAGACCCTGGTACACTGTAGCTGGTATTCTGTTTAATCATTCAACATGTTTGTTCTGTATTTTCTGTATCTGTGAGATGGGGACACTAATGAGTGTTCAACTTTGAAGGTGATTGTGAAGATGGCATGACTTCATGCATGAGAAGTGCATTAAAAGTGCCTGTCAGAGACTGAATATCAATATTGATCTATAGGCAGAGACCAAGAAGACTTAAGAGTAACTAGGATTCTATGATGCATAGTCAGTCTACCACAAACACTATTTAAAGATCATTTATATTTTGCTATATATTAGGCTCAATCATAAACTATGTAATATATATCAGAACATTGCTTATGGTGTATGTGAATTTGCTGTTTTTTTTTTCTGACAACCCAGTGATTTTAGTATCTTCTAGGGTCTGAACCCTAAAGGCATTGGTGTCTCCATATGAAGGAATGGTTATATCTCTATAAACCAAGAGAAAAACAATGTTCATTAGTGAGGCAACAGCACCAAAAGTTGCTTCTGAGAAGT